CAACGGGTTATAATTTCGACCTTGCTCGAAATAACACCCCTACGGCCATCGGTCTTCGCCAAAAGAGAAGTTCGACCTCGCTCGAATTCGCAACGAGTTATAATATTCACCTTTCTCGAAATAACACCCCTACGGCCATTGGCCTTCGCCAAAAGATAAGTTCAACCTTGCTCAAATTTACAACGGGTTTAATTTCGACCTTGCTCGAAATATCACCCCTACGGCCATCGGCCTTCGCCAAAAGAGAAGTTCGACCTCGCTCGAATTCGCAACGGGTTATAATTTCGACTTTGCTCGAAATAACACCCCTACGGCCATCGGCCTTCGCCAAAAGAGAAGTTCGACCTCGCTTGAATTCGCAACGGGTTATAATTTCGACCTTGCTCGAAATAACACCTCTACGGCCATCAGCCTTCGCCAAAAGAGAAGTTCGACCTCGCTCGAATTTGCAACGGGTTATAATTTCGACCTTGCTCGAAATAAAACCTCTACGGCCATCGGTCTTCGCCAAAGGAGAAGTTCTACCTCTCTCGAATTCACAACGGGTTATAATTTCGACCTTGCTCGAAGTGACACCCCTACGGCCATCGGCCTTCGCCAAAAAAGAAGTTCGACCTCAGTCGAATACACATGGAAAAATTGACTTCGCCTAAATTAGTAGGTCGGAATTCAGTCCCGCTCGAGTATACAAGTCGGAACTGATTTCGCCCAAAGATGGCGAATCTAAATTCGACCTCGTCCGAATTAAGGTTGGTTCCGCCTGAGCTGGTAAATCGGAAGCCGACCTCGCCCAATCTCGCAAGTTCGAATTCGCAATCAAAAGAGTCAGGGACTCATCACAGTGGAAATCAAAAGATACACAAATGAAGACGAAATAACTATTTTATTCAAATGTACATGCGCGACAACCGTACCTTACAAATGGCCGAAACGGGCCCTTGGAAAAAGATGAAAGTACACAACAAAAGAAAAAATAAAAACTAAGTACATAGGATGCAGCAAAAGCTTCACTCCGCATCATCCCCACCGCCGTTCTCCCCGACCTCATCATCATCATCAGAAGGGAGCTCGCCCTCGTTATCAATGCCCTCCCCAGCCTCCGGAGTCGCATGGTCATATCCACAAGCAGTGCGAGCCTCGCGTGCCTTTGCCTGAGCATCTTCAAAGGTGGCCTCTAGGAAAGTCCCCGCCTCCCACAAACCCTTGTAAATGTCTCGCTGGGCCTCGGCATGGACCCATAACTCATATAGGCGGTGTGGGAATGTGGCACAGGCAGACTCGACCTGGGTCAACAGTTGTTCCTTCTAGCCTCGAGCGTCACGACCCGATCTCATAGGCTCGAAGCCTCCCGGTCGATTTCGCCAATACGCTCCTCGAGCCGCGCCTCCCTCGGCATGGCTGTAGCCCTCTAGGATTCCTGCTCAGATTGGAGGACGTGGATAGTGTCCTCAGCGCCGCCGCCCTCGCCAAAGCCGATGTCCGAGCCTCCTCGGCACTCTCCATTTTGGCCACTTTCTTTTCCAGCTCGGCCAACTTCCCCATCCATTTAGCGCTCAAAGCTTCGACTCTGGTAGCATTCTGCTCGAGTTCGGCTTGCAGAGACAATACCTTCGTCTGAAGGTCCTCGCACTCCGCGGCAACCCTTTTGCCCACCTCGAGTTCCTCGTCTTTGGCACGGAGCAACTCCTCGAGCTCACTGCATCTGCGGATGGACTGCATCAGCTCCTAATCCCTTTTTTCCAGCTCTTCCCTGATGGATTGGGAGCCAGTACCCGCCCTGAGCCGCTCGTGCATCTCACGGCATCTGTTACGATACCGCCGATACTTTTCAAGCATCTTCAACAAAACCTTGGCCCGAGTCTCGGCCCTACGAGCACTCTCGATCTCTAGCATGTAAGACTAAAAACAAAGAGAAGAAAGGAGTCGGTAAAGACCAAGGTCATAAAGCAAAAAAAAAAAGAACCAAAAAAGAAAGAGGGAAACTTACCCTCAGGCGACAATTCGGCGTCACTGACATCCTGAAGAGCTCCGCTTTCTGCGGCAGAGCATAGAAGGTCAAAATGCGGTACAAAATCCATTGTATCCCACAGAAGGTTGAGATCCGACAGAATTTCAAGTATTCGGGAAAGGCCTCCCGCTCTCACTACAGTTCGGGTAAAAGACTCCTCAAACATCCTAACATCATCAGGGTCGATGTTAGATTCAGACTCATAATCATCAACCATGATGCCTTTTCCCCTCTCTTTGGCCGAAGAAGGAATACGGTTCGGTCGAGATGTCGAAGGGTCGTCCAAGACAGCAACGACAGCCTCGGGACTCCATCTCTTCGCCACATCAGCCTGTTAGCCGCTCACAACAAGCGTAGCCTCTGCGGCCGGGTCGGAACCACCGCCGACTTCGGGCACCGCAAGGCAAGGTCGCCCCTCGAAGATGTTTCAGGTTGAGGAGCCACTTCCAACACCACCGCCATCTCTTCGACGAGGCCTCTCTACTACCGGTGTGAGAAGATTTGCCCGTTGAACGGACAGCAGGAACCGGAGTCTCTAATTGAGGAGTAGTCTCCGCACGCACGACTACGGCCGCAGGCACAGATTGGGCAGTAACTCTCAGCGCAGGACTGGCAGCAGCTCTCGGCGCAGGCCGGGCAGGGGGCGCCGGTTGACGGAATGCGAGCGGAGGAGCCCTCTTCCTTCGCACTCTCCCTGTCGACAAAGAAAGACGATCATATAATGGCAAGGTTAAACCACGAGGCAAAGAGTAAAGAAAAATTGCAGCGGGTCAACTCACCAGTGAGAGGCTTATGCCCATATTTCTCATGGAAGGACGCCCACTCACGAATCCCCATTGTATGGGGGAGAATTGCGCTCACCCATCGTCAACTAGTGGGGGAGGTAGTCTCTCGGCTGCAAAAGCAAAAACAAGTCCTTAGCAATATCACCTAAAAGAGAAGAATCGACGACCGCCTTAAGAGGAATCACAAAATAAACAAAGGAAAACTCACGAGCAAAGTTCCACGTCTCTGGAAACCCTGCGGAGTCCGTCATAAGGTGCTCTGTCCGCACATAGAAGTAGCTTTCCCAAAAGCGGCGATTAGCCTTATCGTCCATCTTCACCTCCAAACTCTTGGTTCCTCGATGGCGCATATGGATCATTGTACCCTGAAGAAAATAAAGGGCAAAGATGTGAAGCATGTGCCCTAAGGAAATTCCTCGTCCGGCAAGCTCCGCGTACTTGATCAGCATGAGGAAGAGTTTGTATGCATATGGAGAGAGTTGAGCCGGGCACACTTTGTAGAAGCGGCAGAAGTCTACCACCAGAGAGGGGAGAGGAAGCGACCCGATAACAAAGGGGTACGCGTAAAATGCGCAGTATCCCGGGCGGTGCAAATGTACAATGTCCTTCCGCGCCACCGGTACCATTTCGATATGAGCGCAGATTCCCCACTTGGCCTTGAGTGCCGCAATCGCCGCTTCATCCATGGTGGAAGGTACAGGCTCTGGTTCATTTCCGGCAGGACTGTTAAAGTCAGTCCTCATCTTCCCGGGGCGGGGTACTATCTCATCCACTGTTGGAAATCCCTCGTCTTCCACCACTTCTACTCCCTCTTCAAGAAGGGGCACGTCATTTTTCGTCGTCGGAACTTCAACAAATCTATCGGTATGGGAAGAAGTACCAACCATTTGTATGTCTTGATCGAAATAAACAGGAACGATGAAGGAAAAGAGAGAATGGTCGCATCCAATTCCGACGAAAGCAGAAGTATGAAAAACTGAAGAAGGTGGGAGTTTGAAAAATTCTCTCAGGTAAATTGGAAAGCATAACAACCAAATGGGGGATTCCCCCTATTTATAGGAACACAAATGCCCTGAGCGGGAAACCCGAGAGCCGCCAATCCAAAAAACTGAAAGGGCACGGGAAATGATACGGTGCCTGGGAAACGTGCGCCATAATGACGCATAACAGGAATTCACGGTACCCTGAATTGATATGACGATCCATCTCTGAACCGACGTAACGGCCCAATAAAGTCCTCGAAGCGTCACGTCGCCACCTCACATAAGGACCTCGTCCCTCGCACCATGTCCAGATTTCTCCTAACTCTTGAATCGACAGACTCCGCCCATGGAGCTCGCCAAAAGGCGACCTCAACGGGCGGAGGGACTAACTGTATGAGTCAAAATCTGACCACCAGATGGTTATCATTAAAGAGAATGGTAAGGGGTCGACCACGCCATGGTCGTTCCCACGAGGCGTAATAGCGACGAGTATCTCGACACTGCCGAGATCGAGCCATCAGAAAGCTTATACAGTTGAACACAACACTGGGGCGAGCGAGCAAGAGTGCAGTTATGAGAAGGCACGCTGGTTAAGAACCGTTGGGTAAAAGGGGAAATGGACAATGTATATAAGGAGGGTAAAGCAGAAAGAAGAGAAAAAGAGGAGGAAAAGACACAGAAGACACGGGAGAGACCTCCAAGGAACAAAGGAAGAAGTCTAGATTTTGGGTTACAAACCTTTGTAATCTCCATTGTTGAATCAATAAAGCTAGATCTCATAGTTATCAACGAGACTCCTTCCTAATCTTCTTTGCTTTTACAAATACGGAACAGTATATCAAAGATGTAATACATTCAATGTCTTTCAATCATCCCAAGAAATATTTTATAAACTCGATCTCTTTGATTTTAGTATCCATTATGCTAAGATCTAAAGCTGATTATGTTTGAGTAAAATTTACAATTTATTTTATCATTAATTGGTATAACTAAAAGGCTTAACACCTTTTGGTCAAACAATCATAAGGACCAAAATCATTATTTGTCAATATTTAAGGGAAATGCTAATTTCCTAACAATATTTTACATCTTTCCAAAAGCTCATCAAGGAAAGACAGCACATTGTATTACATGCGACCGAATGCATAGGATACTAATCCACAAAACCAATCACCAAATTTGTCGTCTTTATAATTAAACCATACTCGGTCCTGATCCATATCGCCATGATAGGACGTCCACCTTTGCATCTCTGACTCTACATTTACATTACATCACCACCCCCCCCCCCCCCCCCCCTTTCTTCTTCTAATTTCTATCCATTTTCTCCATAATCTTCTCTGTATCAGTTGCTCTTTTTTCGCCATTGTACATGACCAGTTAGTTATATTCAGATTTGACGCTTACCCCATTTTCTCTTTTGCTTCAGTTACTACACTATGTTGAACGCACCTTTAGTACTTTCTTTTGTACTTTTATTATCATTTCCACTGATTTTCCTCTTCGCCCCACGAGTTCTCCCACACAAACTCTCCGATAAAATCTCCCTCCCCGATGAGATCGACGACCTCGCTCTCTTCCGCCGCGCAACCCTTAAATCCACCCATAAACGCGGTAACAGCGGCGGTGTTAGGGCTGTCTCTCGCCTTGGCACCACCAATCCCCGCCGCAAAATCGCATTTCTCTTCCTCACTAATACTGATCTCTATTTCGCGCCTCTCTGGGAACGGTTCTTCGCCGGCCACGAAGATTCGTTTAATATTTATGTTCATGCGGATCCTTCTAGTAAGGTCGCTTCTCCCGGCGGCGTTTTTAACGGCCGTTTCATCGCCGGTAAGAAAACTCAACGCGCCTCCCCTTCTCTCATCTCCGCCGCTCGCCGCCTCCTAGCCACTGCCATCCTAGACGACTCCTCAAATTCCTATTTTGCCCTCGTTTCTCAACAGTGCATTCCTCTCCACTCATTCAACTTCGTTTACAATTCTCTCTTCTCATCGACTCAGTTTCCGGCTCACCGGAGCTTCATCGAAATACTCTCCGGCGAGCCACAGTTGTGGGACCGGTATATCGCCAGAGGGGAAAACGTGATGCTACCAGAAGTTCCATTCGACCAGTTTCGGGTCGGGTCACAGTTCTTCGCGCTGACTCGAAAGCATGCACAGTTAGTGATAAGGGACAGGAGGTTATGGAGGAAGTTCAAACTGCCGTGTTTGAACAAGGATTCGTGTTATCCTGAAGAGCACTATTTTCCGACCCTGTTATCGATGGAGGATCCGGATAGGTGTACCCATTACACTCTTACTCGGGTTAACTGGACGGGTAGCGTGGGTGGGCATCCACACACTTATAACCCGCTCGAGATCTCACCGCAGCTTATTTACAAGCTCCGGGAACCTCTTACTCGAGCTCACTGGACGGGCAGTGTGGACGGACACCCAGATGCTTATGACCCGACCCAGATCTCACAGGAGCTCCGGGAATCAAATAATACGTATTCACACTTGTTTGCGAGAAAATTTTCGCCGGATTGTTTGAAGCCGTTGATGGATATAGCGGATAAGGTCATTTTCCGGGAGTAAATGGGATCCGGTAAGTATTTTTATTTATCATTAGCTTATTTTCTTATTTATTTTGCTTTTGGTTGTTAGATTAACTATGGTAATTTTCTTGGCCATGTCTTAATTGGTGTAGAGAATTCGTTAATTTAACTCTATGATAGACAAATTAAAGTAAGAAAACGTATCAGACAATCTTGTTATGTGTTGAAGAAATAGTTTAGGTGTGGGTTAGTTACTTACTTTGTGGAAGGTTGAAATGGTTGAGGGACGCTCGGTCTGAATAATAAAAATATTTATTTAAAAGTATATGTCATGATTTTACTAAATTTTTGTAAGCCGAAGATCTACGTATATATAATCCCCTCCGCTCCGCGATACTATCCTCTCCGCATCTCAGTTGTAAAATTACATTGCGTTTTGTTATTGTTGTCGTCATCATAATTTTATTAAATTTAGTGGTGGGCTTGGATTGATTTTAGTAGTCACATCTTATGGGTTGTGTTACTAGGGACAGCCGGATAAAAAGCAATATTTTTCGACCTGTAGTGTTATGAATAACCTTATTTTATATCTTTATGAGTTGGAACTGTTACAACTTACTAGGTGGTCGCAAAACGTCGCAAAAATTGCCTGAATATGCGTTTTACTTAATTGTAGCCTGTAGATGCTCAAAATGAAATTTCAAATATTAGGATAATATTTGCATCAGATGATGTGTCGGTCAAGTCAAGCTTTAGTTTTTCTAATATTTTCGAGTTCCCGATCCAGCCTACAAAAGATTTGAGCCAATGCTTTTTAGAAAAAGTTAATCATTCATCAACATCACTAATTGGATACTTTAATGCCTGTTCAAATCTGAGCCATTCCACCATTATTCCAAAAACTTTGCAATGTAGTTATTGTTTTGTTTTGTGTTTGATATAAGCTCCTTTTGATATTAATTTATGGGACAGATGCCTCAACTTTCTTCCAAGTAAACAAGGGTTCCAAAATAATCTTTGTATTTGGCGGAATTACCATCTAGTCTAGTGCTAGACACCAAACTAAGCAATTTAACTCTAGTATCTAAAAAATAATAAAATGAGCTAACGGTAAAGTTGTCTTCGTGCATAGGTTAGGGTTCAAGCAGTAGAAGTAACCACTAATGCTTGCATTAGAGTAATTTGTTTACATCGTTACCTTTGGGTATGGCCTTTTTCCAAACCCTAAGTGAACATGGGATACCTTGTGCATTGAATTGCTCTTTTTATCTAAAAATTAAAATGAGAATACGTATCATGTATGGAAAATTTCTAACTTGTAGTAGTTATCAATTTGGCGTAAACACATGATATGGTTTATTTTGTGGAATAGTTTATTTCAATTGTTCCTTGAGCTGATGGTCTATCGGAAACAACCTCTCTATCTGCGTAAGGTAGGGGTAAGGTCTGCGTACGCACTACCCTTTTCAAATCCCACTCGTGGGATTACACTAGATTTGTTGGTGTTAGTTGGTTAGTTTAACGGATTATTTTAATCGATGGGAATAGTGTTTTGTCTTGTTGAATGACCTTGTTTTTGGATGTGGCATATGGGTATCTCAACAAGTCTCGACTCACGTACTGTTTATTTTTTAAATGGATTTGCAGGTGGGATAGGAATCTTGTTAAAGCAATGAAGAGACAGAGGCGCAAGCCAAAAGCTCTTTTGTAATAAACAAATAATGATGCGTGTTTGTTGTGGTCTTATGTACAGAAGACAGGATAAGGTGTGAATTAGTGGTTGTGGAAATTGGTCACAACTTTTAAAAAAGAAATAGGGGTGTGGGCTTAGAGTGGAGTTCCCAAAAGGGTATTTCGAGGAAAATAGGAGCAAAAAGTAGCAACTGGCTCATTGCTCTTTTTTCTCTTTTTCCCTTCTTTTGTTCCTAAAAGGAAAAGAAGATAAAGTCTCCCGTTTGCTCCCCCTTCTTCTCTTACCTTTGTTGATTTCTTATATTACAGTTTTCCTCGTGTTAATGATAGTTTGCAATTGGATCAAAATATTGGATCCTTCTTCCTCTCTATTTACTCTTGTTTTTATGTTATATCGTTTGGTAATTTGGAGTTTACTTTTGTGAAGCGCCATCCTTTGATTCACGTTTTCAACGTATAAAATTTTAAATATGTGAACGATCATTTATATTCCTACCACAAAGAGGCTAAAAATTGGTCAATTGTCCAATTCACGCATGACAAAAGAGAACAAGAACTTGGGCTATGGCAACAAGTTGAGACAGAGACAACTTGGGACAAGGGCAACTGCCACGATACTTACCTCAGCCTCTCTAGCGCATTAGTTACTAGATTCATTCAGTGACAACATTAGGATATATGTAGTTGGATAAGCACATTATCTAAATAAACTGGAATGTGTATGAACAATATGGAGTGTTAATTTAATATTAGGTGATGAGTGGGCGGGTGAAATTAAAAAATAGCTAGATATATAAGTAGTAAATAGTCACAGTTTCAAAAGTAATCGAAATTTAGTCATTTTTCATGTCAAGATAAATCTGCCATAGTATGCTGGAGTTCGAATTTTTTATATGAGAACTTCCAGCATAACATGCAGGAATTTCATAATGTGCTGGAGTTCCAGCATAATATGCTGGAAGTTCATACACATGTGCTCCAATCTCCAGTATATTATGCTGGAACTTTCCCTGTTGCAGTAAAATAATGGCTATTTTTAAATGACTTTTCAAACGCTGGCTAATTTTTAATTACCAATTCGAAAATTAGCTAGCCCAAGCTATTTTATGTGAATGGGTGGGTGATTCATAAGTTGCACAGTAGGCTTTAACCCGCCCTAAGTTACAGTCTTTTTTAGGCCAAATGTGTGGCAATTCCTCTTAATACAAATAGTAATTTAATCCAGTTACTTAAGTTTAAATGGCAATAATTTGGGAAAGGTTTATGATATAATCCCATATATTTAATTTTACAGCCAAATTTTCGGATCCTTGACTTGTTTCTTAAATTGAAATTCCTGCAAATCTTTTATTTCATCTCTGTTACGTCTTCGTGATTTAGCCTCCGATTTTAAATGTGTTGAACTAGATGACTTATTACCAATAACAAATAATTAAATCATTAGAATGAAAGAAGCCATAAACAATTCTTAAATTGGTACAAGAAAAGTCCATTTATGAAATTTTGTGTTTCTCAAATTATGTAATTACCCAATTTAGATAAGTTTTTATCAAACATGAACACTCTATAAGAACGAAAGACAACTCAAAGAAATTATTATTAAGACTAAATTATGGATTCAAATAACATTTTACTTTTCACACCATAAGGTATTGAATCGTCACTTCGAATTGTTCAATTGATGAGGGTGGGTGTAGTAGTTAGCCTTTGTTATTAAAAAAGTTTAGGAAAAAGGTATATCTTCTTTTTGCTTAAATTTATATCACAATTGATTTGTTAAAGGTTTACTGATTAATCAAGATTTCTTCATACTCAAAGAAAGAAATTATTGCCAATTTTGAAATCATCGGTGTGACCAAATGAAAGGGAGTGGTAGTTGACAAATTGAAAGTTCTGAGTGATAGAAATAATAAATAACGCTAAGTGTTTCAATACTTTAAGTAAAGCAAATAAATTTAACAAAAATAGTACTGTAAAATATTTAAAGTTTTTCAAAAAAGAGCTCCTCTCCGATTTCAGGTCAGCTTTGGTGGGAATTGGACAAAGGAGAACCTAAGAAAAAAATCTGAATTTTCATATATTTGACTCTCAAAACATTTGGAACAATTAATGCAACTTTCAAATTTGCCAACTTAGGGAGTTAATTAATTAAAATTTCAAAAGAAAAGCTGAAATTATTGCCAATTTTCAAATTAGTAAGTGGTGGTAGTTGACAAACTGAAAGTTTTGAGTGATAAGAACAATAGCAATTATGACTGGTGTTTCAATATTTTATGTTGGGGATATAAAGAAATAGTAAAAGATTTTAAATATTACTCTTAAAAAAAAACCCTATCCGATTTTTTGGTCAGCTTTGAAGGAATTGGGCAAAGGAATACCCAAGAAGTAAGAAGTAATAGAAAACTCTGAAGTTCCATTTGGGTAGGGTTCAATCCCTTGACTCCCTCTCCTACCCCTTCAATGATTTGTTTGGTATAAAGATAAGTTATGCATGAATTATGAATTAATAATGTGATAATTATTATGAGAATTAATTTTGTTATTTTAGTGTTTTAATCCATATATTATTGATAGTTATATTCGTATTTCATATTCTATCATGGATAAATTAATACATAAAATTCTGCATAATTTATGCATGTATTATTTATGGGGACACTCAAAAAGTAACCAAACAAGGTATAACTAATGTTGAATTTGATACAAGTATTGTACTAGGTTGATTTATGCAAATGTCCCCTTTTTTAGGCCACTATTTAGATTTTGTGTAAAAATAGCATGGTATAGCCAGTTTTTGGACTGGTCAATCAAAAATAGCCAGCGTTTACCAAGTTAATGAAAAATAGCCACCGTTTTGCTGCAATAGAGACCGGTCCAACATAATATACTGGAGTTCGGTGCACTTGTGTATGAACTCCAGCATATTATGCTGGACCAGAGTACTTTGTTGGCTCCAGTATAATATACTGGACCAATATACTTGCTGGAACTCCAGTATATTATGCTGGAGTTCTAGTGTATTTATGCTGGAACTCCATCATATTATGCTGGAGTTCCAGCATACTACCCTGGAACTCCAGTATAATATGCTGGAGTTCAAGTATACTTATGCTGGAACTCCAGCATAATATACTGGCGTATTTTCCGGGTTTTGAACAGTGTTTTCGCTCAGATTTATCTTTACATAAAAAGTGGCTAAATTTCGATTACTTTTGAAATTGGGCTATTTTTGTATGACCAGTTGTAAATCTGCTATTTTTAAAATTTTCCCAGATTTTGTTCCTATTTCTAAAAGTTGTGTAACAACAACCCTTAAAAATTTACTCTTCCCGATAATATTAGACTTGAGTCTAATGTTTATTCATATATTGCTCAACTTTCCAGGTAAAACATTAGTCTATCACCTAATATTTGCAATGACTTATAAGATTTTAGACCGTGATCTAACGTTTCTTATAAGACTTTCAGTTTGTTCATAAAAGATCTTTAGACCGTGTTCTAAAAGGTTCATAAATTGCAAAAAAAATAAAAAGAGGACTATTTATTAAACAATTGTCCCAATGGGGAAAATTTCGGATTGTACTATCCTGTACTCCAAACAAAACGGGCTCTTTGTTTAGGTGTTTCTACAATGGGGCTCATAATTAGGGGGGCGATGTGCACAAATAGCCACTAACGGCTCATGTCTTTATTTTAAAGCCAGTGTTTTAAATGTCTTTAGTCTTTAGCCACTGGTTTAATAAACTTTAACTGTCCGGAGGAAAATACCCTTCTGCTCATGTCCTTAACTTCAGGACTTCAGGACTACATGTCCTTAACTTTTGAACTTGAAACTCTAAGTTCAGGACTTCAAGACTACATGTCCTTAACTTTTTAAGCTGTAACTCTAAGTTCAGGACTTCAGGACTACATGTCCTTAACTTTTGAACTTGGAACTCTAAGTTCAGGACTTCAAGGTTACATGTCCTTAACTTTTGAACTTGGAACTCAAACTTCAAGACCAAACGTCCTTAACTTTTGAACTTGTAAGTCAAAGTTAAGGACCTATTGTCCTTAACTTTTGAACTTGCTTGTCCTTAACTTTTGAACGTGTAACTGTAAGTTAAGGACTGTCTGTCCTTAACTTTTGAACTTGTAAGTCAAAGTTAAGGACTTATTGTCCTTAATTTTTGAACTTGTAAGTTAAGGACTGCTTGTCCTTAACTTTTGAATGTGTAACTGTAAGTTAAAGACTGTCTGTCCTTAACTTTTGAACTTGGAAATCAAAGTTAAGGACCTATTGTCCTTAACTTTTGAACTTGTAACTGTAAGTTCAGGACCTATTGTCCTTAACTTTTGAGCTTGTTAGTCTAAGTTCATGACCAAGTGTCCTTAACTTTTGAACTTGTAATTCTAAGTTCAGGACCAAGTGTCCTTAACTTTTGAACTTGGAACTCTAAGTTAAGGACCAATTGTCCTTTATACATCCAAGATGTGTGTATTTTCCTAGATGATGGTAGTGGGTGGTAACAGAATAGGCACACAAATGGTAAAACACATTGCACTCTGTAAAGTATAAATAAGCTAGTTAAACAATATTATCCAATTCTAAATTCATACGATGAAAAAGAAAAAGGGGACTTTGAAAGTAATAAATCATTAGCAACAATCTATTCTCAGTTTAACAAATATATATAAAAGTAACGAACCTTCTCCAGTAATCCATGGTATAATCAACAGACAAATTATCAGAAAAACCGTCCAGCTATGATTGGAAGTTTCAAATACATTATACAAGTGAGCACTTTCCATTGCTTAGAAGGAAGGGTAAAACAGTCTTTTTCCTATTAGTAGTGGCTATTTTTGCTGAGCATTATAATTAGTGGATAAAAATTAAAGACACCCTTAATTAGTGGCTACTACACGCCATTTTTACTAACTAGGGGTGTTCATGGTTCGGTTTGGATCGATTTTTTCCTAAAAAGAAACCAAACCAAGTAGGTCGGTTTTTCAAATATTAGAACCAAACCAAACCAATTAAGTCGGTTTTTTCTCGATTCGATTTATGTCGGTTTTTGTCGGTTCGATTGTTTCGGTTATTTGTCGGTTTTTTCTTAAATATAAGACATACACTGCCAAACACATATTCCGGCAACCACATTTTCAACGTAACACTGTCAAATCAATTGCCCTTTGACTAAATTTATTATTTACTAAAATATATTGATGATAATTGAATCAAATAGTGATGAATAATTTAAAGACTCAATTAAAAATATATATTTTTTAACATGAAATAGAATCTTACACTTAAAAAAAGAAAACTACCAATCAAACTAGAATATAAAGGTAAAGAACTGTACTAAAAGTGCAAACGATTAACATTCACCATAAAATTTTTGAAACTTTGTAT